AGCCTACACGTAAGAAGGGATGAACAGGTCGGCTGAGCATGGACCTGGAGCATCTTGCCAATGAGCAAGTATGGACGTGGATCAACTGGAATACTCTCCTTGCCTTCATAATCGGCCGTTGGCGCGCATGCCGGTACACCATCGCCTTTCGATGAATGTGATGTTTAGACGGGACGACAAGCAGCGTTTGACGCGTTACCTCTTGCACGCCCCACGAGAAGGAAGTTCTGTTAGGGATGAATTGTATGAAAATTCCTCGACCTGTATACCATTGTTCGTCAGGCGCACCACTGGGCACCTGATGGCACATCGCATAAATGTTGGACCCTGAACTTTCACGTTGCAGGTTAGCCCTCACAGCTGGGTGAAGTCCCTTTCACATATTGGCGAAAAATCTCTCCTCAGCTGCTCTCCTTTTTGGCGTACACCTTCGACTTCAAGATATTGGGTACAGTTCAGATTCTACTCACGCCGATATGTCGGCTTTGGAGCGTTCTTTAAACCTTCAATGAGCTATGGCAGAGGCTTGCACTTGTGTAAGACGGCTGATGCTAACGAATAAGGGTCTTACTGCGCCAGCGATGTTGCTCTCAGACGGACCATTCGCTTCGTCTTTAGTCATAGAATCAATGCTGGCGTTGACGATCGAGGCTGTGCAGCAGTTGGAAACGGATTGCGCTGATCAGTGTCTTAGGCCTTTACCCGATTCATCTCCCATAACCTCTAGATCTTCGCTTGAAAATGTTGTAAGGCTGTGCCGCTGCGCAACATGCGCTTTCAGTTCAAGCGGTATGCAATGTTGATTCACTTCCTTACATCCGTGCATTCGCCTGGTGTTCCTGAAGTCCAAGCACAGGCCAGGACTGCCAATAGGGTATTCCTCATTCCTATTTGCTTCATATATCACGAAAAACGATAGACAATCAAAATGTCCGTTGCTGAAAATGTTGGAGATCTCTGCTGTACGCGTACACCGGTAGCCGACGTACACCGCATTCGACTGAAGGCCAAATTGAATCACCACGATACTACTTTTCTTGGCCAACATGCAAAGTAAATGGCGTGGCCACATTAATTCATGAACAGTCGCCGCTCATTTGCTGCATGAAGCTTCCAGATGAATATACACATCACTGATGAGCATGAAGTGGAGCTGGCTTGTTAAGCTAACGCCGCATGCGTATCTGCATCAGAACGGTTGTTCGAACTCGCATATCAAACGGCTATAAACAACTGTGGTGGTGCACTGAGATACGTACGGTGCTCTTGCGGCAATCGGTGCCTTCGATATGCCGGCTGCAACTTCGATCACATTGTGTGCTGCTTCTCGCTGTTGAGTCAAGTTGCCCAACCACGTCTGGAGTAGGAGCGGTGGTTCACTGTACAGACGAGTTGGCGGTTATTCCTACCAATGGAGTCATTGCATTTGACCGAAACAGCTGAAACTGTCCATATCATATAATGCGCCAAATGCTGACTTTACCGTTCATTTGGAGACCGGCGAGGCGGGGTTCTTGTAGTCACTAGCTTAGCACAAGGTTTTGCCCCCCACCTGCATGTTAAGAAGCTGTCTCTTGCATTCATAGCTCTGCCTTAGATTTATATTTCGTCTTTATCTTCATAGTGCAAATGTGGAGCAACCATTCAGAAACGGGCACATCCGGTTCGATTGCGGGATTGTGAAGTCACCCGTCACCACTGACGTAAAGATAGGAAACGCGCCGAAAAAGTACAACTGGACTTTCTTACGGGTTGAAAATTAATACCAACTGCACCGAAAATTCTCATTGAAGGCATTTTGTGTTGCTAGCCTTTCCCCCCTTGCCACGGGCTTGCGTCGAGAGGCGCTTTAAGCTGCCTTCATCCAGAGAATTTGCCTGAAGGTGTAGAACGCTGCCTACATACACTTTTCCAGGTAATTCGAAAATATAGCACTGAAAATATGTCGTTGCAGAAGGCAGCCAAACTTTTTAATGTGAACGCTGTCCAGCTGCGGCGCCGAGGCTCGGCGGCGGGCTTGTTAGAACCCAACCGCAGGAGAGAGTTACTTGAATCCGCAAGATGCACAATATTTGAAAACCTTTGTGGTGGAAGGAATAGCACAGCATCAAAGCTTCTAGACATAAATATCTGACGGATAGGTACACCGCCTTCGTTGCTCTTGCTTGATTCCTTCGTAACTCATACTTAAGCGTTTCCGGCTTGTTCGTGGAAGGGGAACAAATAACTCCCAGCAGAAGCAATTTTACGAACATTTCCGAACTCAGCACGTTGTAAGAAGCATCCGACCGTTCTGAATGATATCTCAGGACTTGCAGGCCACATGCTTGCCAAGTTGTGTTGAAGGGGCCCTTACGTCTTCTCCCCTTCGCAACGTGCTGTTAAGGGCATAAGTCGGTGGATGGAGCTGTGGTGTGAGAGGCTATATGTAAGGCGAATTCTCGCTCCAAGCGGAGGACTGTTGTCAGCAGCACGGACTCAAATGTGAATTCTCCGGAGGGGAAGTCACCATATTTTAATCTGCCAGCGCCCTGGTCACAGCGGCAAATTGTCTTGAAGTTGGTGTAGCGGGGAAGTGGCTCGGGTGGAGCTGCTCCTGCTGCAAGGAGACCCATATGCAAGCATACCGAATACCGCTTTGTATGCATGCACGAACACCGTAGACAACTGCTAAGCACCTACTCTTCCATCTGTAGGCAATTCGCACACAAGTAGAATTACATATACCAACATCAGACAGACCGCGCAACATACGCAGCACACATGGCTATCTTCTTCAAATTGTGCGTATTCGCCCTCTTCTGATGACTATGGCCTTCTACTCATATCTGGAGTGGTTAACTGCAGTATAATTTGTAGCTACTCAACAACAGCTCCTAGGCGGAGTGCGCCTGGCTGTAGTGTATACCTAAGGCGAGAGACAACTGCCAGATTTACACAATCTCTCTAATTTTCCGGAAAGTCAACCAACTTGGCGACATCCCGCTTCCCATTTCCCATCCCCACTCGCTCTCTCGCCGCAAGACGGAATAGCTACAGACATACCTCCACCCAGTTTAGTCGCAACATTCCAATGGGCGGAAGTGATGGAATATTTTGTCCAGCTGCGGCGTAGTTCTGTACAGGCTATAGCTTAGTCATTTATCCAACAAGCATGATGAGGCACGCTGCTTTGAAGAATTGTAGCGACCCACTTGAACTGCCCGTAAAGAGAGATGGACAGCCCACAACTGGTTTATACAGTCGTCTTTGTTGGTGCATCCAAAGCTATCAATTTGCATGAGCCAATGGAACACCAGGCAACGTTTTCTTGACCCCGCTGCAAACGAATGGAATATAATTGCTGCTAAGTCATTCAAGCGAGCAAAAAAAACTGCGATATCCCATTTAAAGCGTAAAATGCACGACAGTTAAGCCCCAAAAAATATTGGGGATCTAGCTCAATCACCTGAGGCTCAGTGTAACGAGGGTCGTCGGTCTTAACCGAGGACAGTCGATCTTATCCGAGGGCTTTCACGAGCTCGAATATCATCGAAATACTTAAGATAAGCATTCCCAAAAAGCCGCTGATATCCTTTCCCATCACCAGGCGACCTGAGACCTGCAGCCCAAAGGGGCCGAGGGAGAGGAGGCAGCCTGACACGAGTTGCAACGTATCCCTCTGTAGCTCGTGCTGCAAGGCAACCTTGCACGCAAGCACAACTGATCCTCTTGACCTGCATTCACTGACGCTCTGGACAATTATTGAGCACGCCCTTGGCCTCACAAGTAAAGATGCATGCACGTGCTAGCTTGCGCAGGCAATGCTACACTCAGTCAGAGTTTGTGGTGTATGTACGCAATATTTGGATATTGTTCAGCCTATTGTTCGTTGACTGCTTCCTGTTGTAGGAACGGCAGATGCAGTCATGAGTTGGCTTTTTACCGTCGCTCCGTTCTCTTGAATGCGTCCCTCCGAACACGGTCGGCGGAAACTCCCCTCCCTTGCGACTGACCAAGGTGTGGTTAGCCCGATGCGGCAGAGATGTAAGAAACTAGTGTCGGCGTATGAGTACTAATGGGCCGTCCAATCATCACATTAGTATTGCGGTTATGTGTGGCGGGCGGACTCAAGGGGTTTCAGAACGCATGCAAACCGCCGCTGGGGACTTCAGGCCCCAAGCCCACATTACACAGCTACTTGCCATTTCATTTTGTAGTGGATGAGTTGGCATGGAGCTGCCAATTGCGCACGTTTGCGACCTGTAAATTTATGAGACGGCGCCCGTGCAGTCACGTGCTCTTCCCGGCACTCTGGAGGCAGAAAGGCAACAAAATCATTGAAATATATTTTTTGTAACTCTCTGAGAGTTTCTGATTGGAATATAAGTATGGAAGGCCCATCTTGCCAGTCTTGTTGTGCGGCCGACCCCCTGCGCAGGCTGGACCGAAGGTCACTCGACAGTGGTTGTGCTGTTTCGCGTGCGACCCAGGCAACTGGTAAGGGAACCGCTGATTTTTGATTTAATTCGCATAATGTGCTTGTCACAATGTGGTGATTCACTGACATTTGTCTGGAGAACCTACGCCCTAGTGGCTGATCCTGGACCAGCACACACGCCCATGCCTACCCCAGTGGACAAAGTATGTTGTGGCTCCTATCGTCTCCTTCCACCGTGAAACCCCTTTAAACGTTGCATTTGGAGTATTGCCTACGGCATAGGACCTTTTCGAGCAGGCAATAGCCTTCGGTCCTCCAGCACCCAGACCAGGCGGTACGACATCTGCCTTCTTCAGCGCTGAGCGTCATCAGTGTTCGCAAGCAGATTATATTTACCGCTCCCATATGTTAAATATTTCAATCGAAGGAATTCTATCCTCACTTGGGAGACCGCCCTAGGATCCAAACAACCGCATCCGGAAGACGAGGCCGGATAATCCGGGGCATGCCCGTATGAATGTCTTTATTCGCAGCTTTTGGAACCTTCACCCATTCACTTGGACTTGGAGGTTTGTTGAGAATGGCTAGTATGCGATCGAGTGGACGATCTCGCTCCACGTTGTTTGAAGATGAAGCTTGCATTTCGCGGGATGGCGACAGAACGCGTTCCCAGTTGCTTGAGAAGTCGGGCTTACATAAAACATCTAAAGCCTCCAAAAACCTGGCTTCGACGAAGCATGACTCATCTTCGCGTTCCAAAGCAGAATCAGATAACCAGGAGACTACAAAATCAGTGCGTTCAACTCCAGACCAATGCGCCCTCGTCTCCTCATTAAGGAAATCCAAGACCGTACACATTCCACGTATCTGGGATGAGCTTCCGGCGTGGCGACTGGAATATGAAGCACTGACAGGCATTCAGCAGCAGGTCATGGAGTACGTAGCGTCCAATAGTGAGGCGGAAAGTGCTGCTGCGAAGGCTCGACTCCAGAAGAGCTGGGCAGTCTTCAATATCTCCGATCAAGACTTCTCAAAAATCGAGCTCTATCTCGCGAAAAAGGTGCCCCTAACCATTCGTGTTGACATCCAAGGGCTATTTCCATATTTGATACACGACCCCTTCTACAGGTGAAGCGTCACAGATGAGCCGTGGCTATCAGTCTTCGGTGACGGGCAGGCGTATAGATATCACATTCAGTCACAGTGGTACTTGACCTCTTCCTTACACCAGTTAGTGCGGTTTTAATAATGATTACTGCGCTCAGAACCTGTTTTGAGACAAACATTAAGGGGTCTGTGTATTTGGAAGCTCGACGAGAATTTGAAGCAGTCCTCTTCAACAACCTCTATGAACACCCGTCAGTTCAGCCACAAGACAGGCCAAAGTACGTTTATACCGAGCCCTTTTATTGGACAAAATCACGAAGCTCCTTGAAGTTATGGCTGCAGAGAATCTTGTGGAACTCTCAGGTATGGTGTATTGAACATGGTATGCCATCCGTTTTCGGATTCCCGAGTTTCTTCCTTCGGAAGCGCCTATCTCCTCCTGAAAGACTCGCTCCGGTGAGCGAGCATTTTGACATAATATTGTAGCTTTCCCCCCCCGCTTGTATTTCCGAATACAAAACGTAGGCCCCTGATCTGGTGCGCATCAGCTTTTTCTCTTGTGGTTGAGGCTTTCGTTTCCTCATGAGATAGCGTCAGCAAGAACTCGGTTCTAGCCCTGGTTTGTGGACATGCTCTGGAAAGTAGGGCCCGAACAACCGTGGCAACCAGCAAAGAGAATTTGGGCTTTAGAACCCGTCGAGTTGGGACGCTCGATCACATGTGGCACATTGTTGAGACGCTGTCAAATCACGAAATAACAAGGATTCACGTAAGGCCAGCGTACACACGTGAAACTGTGATGCCAAATGCCACTGTACTAGCCACAAATTGTCACCGATGACATTCAGGACAGCCAGCTTATTTAGTGTTCTGTTTCTGACAGGCCGTCGCTACCGGCATACGGGCCAAAGCCACAGTGTCGCCGGACAGTAAGTACTCGGAAATCCAGATCCACGGGATGATTGACGTGAGGTGAGTGCCTCCAGAGTTTTTGACTCAAGCTATGCCTTTTAGGCCATCGACTGTAGGCGTTTCTAGCCTTTTTATGCAGGAAGGACGTGGCAGCAATCGTCGTGCAGAGGAAAGACTTGGAAAGCAACAGGACGGGACCGCTAATTCAGGAGCTGAGCAAGAGATACATCCTTCCCGTGCTGACTTGTGAAGAGTTAGATGAGAACCTCGGCGACCGCCGATGGTCCACAGTTATAAACCAAAGGGCAAATTACCTTCTTCAGAAGACGATGGCAATGCATGATGCCACCTACAGCACCTGTAAGTGGTCAGTGTAACAAGAGTCCTCCTTTAGCCAGTGGCCTTCCTGGACTGCAAATAATAGAGTCGAAAGGCTTAAGGTGGGAATTCTAAGAACAATCTGATGTCTCTCCCAGTCTCCTCCCGCCCTGGGCCCAGTGGCACAAGGAGCGGGCTGGTGGGGAGAAGCGAGCCGTCGTGAGTTGCTGCAACGCCTGCTGCAACCACACAAGCAGACGCAGATAAATTGCAATTTTAACGCTTCAACAAGCTCTCAAGGCAGTTGTTTAGCGCTTACATCGCACATTGGAGCCAACCGGCACGCACGTGGAAGTATACGACCAGCTTCCGGCAGACCGTGCTGCAGTAAATGAGCCGGCACAGCGACGCTCAGGCTTGTATTAAAGTATAAGATGGGCAACAGTGCACAGTGCACAGGATCGTAGAAGCCCGGCTCCCCATCTCCGCAGTTTTGCTGCAGAGCGCTGCTTATGCTGACGAATATGCGTCTTATGCAGGCTGCAGCGTGCGCTTGCAAATGACAAAAAATCCATGCGCCTACTACCTCCCAATTCAGCCACATAATAACCTGATAGGTCGTCAAATAATCTGCCGTGCAAAAATAGGGAGCTCAACAGCACGGCTCCTGAAAATGAAGCGGTACAGTCGGTGTACGAGACCCACACAGACCACTGTGGACCTGCACGCACAGGGAATCTTTTGGGGACTGCACGGAGAAACTGCACAGCTCCAGGACAAGGCCTAGATTTCATACAAACAATTACAACATCTCCTGTTGGGGCATATACAGTATAAAAGTGATGTGCCCGACAACACCAATCCGTGGCAGGGTCTCATCTCCTCTGCTGGACCAGGGTCACCTTCGGTCATGCCTCGGCCTTTGGTGCCCTATGAGAAGACTTAAACCCCATAAATTCAATCTACAAAGCGCTTGTAGGTGTTTATAGCAACAGAAACGCGGGGGAGTGAAGCAAAGTGCAACTTGGTAAGGTCCACGGAGAGCACCGGCTCATCAACCTTCCCCCCATTTTGCAGGTAGGGATTCTTGCTCGGCTCGTACCGCAGCACCCACTTACTAAAAGAGCTTCAAAAATTAATTCTACATTACATGGACCCTTTATCTTGATGGTTAAGGCTTCTGCAAGTCGTCGACCCCCCGGTGACGCCACCGGCGCCTGCGCCAATGCTCCTGTGGCTTCTCCTCGAGTTGTTTGACGGCAAACCCGAGATAGATTCGACGTTTCAAGCCCATTTCCTGTCTGTGCGCTTATTTATTTGATGGATAAGGGAAGCTGGACAGCAGTACCACGTGTACCAGCACAAGAACTTGCCCTATCGCCTCAATGGCACAACAAGCAAAAAAAAGGCTTGAGCCACCAGCAAGAGGGTATCTACCCGGCACCAGGCCCCTGAGTGTGGAGGAATACGAGTGTCTTGCCACCACGCATCCATACGCTGTCAAGCACCTGGTGACGAAAAGGGTGGCGAGCGTTCTGTGTGGAAATGTTATTAAACGACTCCCTGCAACACGAGTACCCACTGGGATGGATGCAGCTAATGAGGTAGAGGGGAGGAAACGATGCTCCGCAATGGAAAACGTAGGAAGAACCGACACATTTCGGATGCCAGATGAGCACGTAGAGATGCGCTGCAGCGTCGCCCCAACTAGCGTTCGGAAGGGTGAGGCCACAGCGCACTGCGTGCACACCGATGGGAGAGGCGTTGATGTGCAGTCATACGCAAGCCCTCCATACAGCAGAGAACACCAACAGCAACGTGGCCTTGCGAAAGTTGTGACCGGTCCAGCAGGAGAAATCCAATTGTTCTCAAAGATTGCGAGATTCCCAGCACTCAAAGAGGCTAGAAGGATTGGCCTGCATGATGTTGTGGATGACACCAGCCCGAACCATTACTGCGAAGAAGAACTGCGGCAGTCGCACCTACACTGTTTCCGATCGGTGAAATGCACTAGTTGCTCTGAACAGGAATTGCCTTGCCAGGTGGGCTTCGCTCCACTACGCAGTGTTAAACGGTCGCTCACAGTCCATCATCCTGACCAAGACCAGGATTCACCAATGGTGCCCTCGACGGGAACGAGCCGAATAAGGGTGTGTGAGGGAAACCTTAGTGAGGGCAGAAGGTCGATAGATTCTCAGGACTCTGGAGGCTGCAAAATGGGAAGTCTTAGCTTGATGGTTGTAAAGTGCAAGGGTGGCGAGGTTTCGCATGCGATTTGCACTGACCACAAACTCCCATGCGGTAACGGGCAGGAAATAGGAGATAACTGGATTGATGCCGAATGCTTCTCGTATGAACACTACGGACATGATTTACATCGTGAAGAGTATAATTCGCTGTCACCTTCCAAAGATCAAGAGAAATACCGCGGAAAATATTCGCTGAACAAAGCTGGAATTCAAGACGTTGCTTTTCCGGCAATCATCGCCTTCGGCAATGAGGGGTTCTTTAGCGAAAACACGGACGCGGAATCACATATACAAGGGGCCCATGCCTCCGTTCCCATTGGCTTAGCAGGTCACCGCTCCGACTCCAACTCAAGTGAACAGTACCTGTTGCGTCAACGGGATTATACTGCGGGCTTCGATGCAAAACAAAGAGGGCACTTCGCTTGGAGTAGACGAGGTGCAAGCCAGCGAAAGGGCACGGAAGCCAGCCTCACACGACATATGCGACACCCATCTGTTCCGGCTATCCGCCACAACCACACTCAAAGGAGCTCTTCTGCGGGTTTGCCGCTGAAGGGTTCACCCGAGATTTTCGCTTCTGTGGCAAACGTGTGTATTGCGTCGAGGACTAGCCAATCGCGCAGCCATGCAGGCGAAAGTGGGCGGAGGCGGCTAGGGTGGACAGCATCCAGAACTGAAGAGGAATTCAGGCGGAATGGGGATCGGGAATCCGCGAGCACTTCACACGGGATGGGCAGCATGACCAGCTTGCATGGAACACAAGCGGCCCAGCAACGGTTTT